GCACCTCTGCTCATGCGACGTGCAATACTTGCATTCTGTTTTCTGTTAGCATTGTGTACTTTGGCTGAATGTTGGCTTACTCGTAGTGGACTGCAATCTAGTAGAGTGATAGCTCGTAGCACCACCAGTATTTTGTATCTTTGTTGCTTAAGCGGTATTGCAACGAATGATACCTGCACTTCCACAACATCTCCTGGACGTATCTTCATTGGGTTGATTTCATAGTATCTGTGAGGTATTAGTCAAATTTGAATCATTTGAGTGCTCCATTGCTTACCGTATAATATTATCGGTTCCTTGTTGCACTTCATAATAATCAACCTTATTTTCCAGGAGGTGAACAAATTCATTGGACAATGCGTTCGTAAGTATATTGTGTGGGTCGATCTCAGTGCCAAAGGAAATAGGAGCGTCACCGTTTATATCACGTCGGTCTGTGAAATAGCGGTTGCCCATATCCAATGCTTTGAATGTTTCATAATAACTAGGAACCCATGCATCCATGGTGTTGTGGGGTAGTGATCACTCAAAAATGTGCTGTATGTCGTAAATGTTTTCAATCATGGTGGAAAATTTTGTTCCCCCAAGTCCCGTCAAAGCTAATGATTGCTTCAGATATCTTCGCTGCTTTGACTCTCTGTTATATGATGCTTTAGCTTGTTTACGCTTCACAGTTAAGGAAATACTTACATTTTGAATGGTCGTTTCACAGGTGGAAGACTTGCATTGCAAACAATACCCTGTATGTGCAGTACGACTTCTTCTTGGCTGTTGTCATCAATGTTGGTCTTTGTGAGCTTCCAACATCTTGGTTTGTCCACCTTTGTTACTGAGCATAAATCAGACATTCCATCCACCTGTTATTGGGGTGTGAGTATGTCTCAGATAATCTATAACACTATACCACTGCTCACCGAATTAAAATACGCCAATTGTACAACCTTTGGACCCTTCGTTGTCCTAGCAGTTATGACGGCCTCAAGCAGATCACCTAGTATATAAAATTAGTGACTCTACACATCCAGTTAAAGAGGGTACTTGCATGCTTCTATCTTGTTGTAAAAAGAATCCATTGTAGTGAACGATGTACTGTGACTGGTAAAGTGTTCCAACTACAGAAGGTGGGGTGGGTTTGATTCTCTTGGAGTTTTTGGTGGCCTTACCAACAGATCTGCAGTGGTTGATGAGCCCTGACAAAATATGGTGCGATATTGTTGGATGACTTGGCTAGATATTTTCTGATGCATTTTGAATCCCTGTGGCGCTGTTTAGCTCAATATAATACTGACTAGAGAGTTTTTGAAAAAAATATGGTGCGATATTGTCGGATGACTTGGCTAGACATATTTTCCGATGCATTTTGAATCCCTGTGGCGCTGTTTAGCTCAATATAATACTCACTAGAGGGTTTTTGACAAAATATGGTGCGATATCAACGGATGACTTGGCTAGACATATTTTCCGATGCATTTTGAATCCCTGTGGCACT